ATAGAGAAGTATTTCTCTGGACCCGAATTTCATTTTCACTTTCAAATAGTGAAGTAAAAGGGAGGGAGAGACATCTTTATTTTTTTAGGTCTATTGCATTTGTGTTATTTGCCCAACTCATGAAGGTTGAGCCTTGCTGCTGGTGTTCTGTCTGCTGTGACACCAGGTCTCCTGCTCTGCTCGTTGGTCTTTGCTTGCTATCCTCTTGGTGCAGGAGAATGTGAGCCTCTGAGCATGTTGCATTCATCCCCAAGTCCCCAGTACTCAGCACAGGTCTTGCACAAAATTCTGGCTGAGAAATCTTTGAGAAAGTCATTTACATTCAAACACACGTGGGTGGCAAAGGTCCCATGGGATGTGACGTCTCTGCTCAGCCTTAAGGTGTGAGCACGAAGGCCAACACAGAAGGGCAAGGGTGAGCCAGGCAGAGGAAAAGCCTGTTTGTTCCTCCACTCGTCAGGCACTCACTGTGTATGAAAGTCTCCTTTGGTCTCTGCATAAAACTCACAACGACTCTGTGAGTAGCCGCCGTTACTGGTTACTGTCGACACCCCCACTTTACAGATGAGCACATTGAAATGTGGAGGATTTAAGTCACTTGCCTAGAGCCACATAGTGAATCCGTGGTGGAGCCGTAAGTTCTCATCTCACCATGGTGGCAGCTGTGAGCATCCCATTAGCACTAGCCATTCTTTCCTACCTTCGACTATTTTCTGTCGCATTGGTGCCAACACTACCATTCCCCTATTCTTTTTCCTTTACACCCCTTCCTCTGTTTCTCTTCTAGCATTTGTATTTAATCCTTGTGGTAGGCAGGAAGATGGTTCCCCAAAGATGTCTACGTCCTTATGCCCAGAACCTATGAATACATTGGTTATAGGGTGAGGGCCAATTATGGTTGCTAATCAGCTGAAGTGGAGATGGGGGAAGTGGTGAAACTGGATTCTTCATGCAGGAGCAAAGCAACCACAAGGATCCTACAAGGTGGAAGAGGGAGGTAGACGAGTCAGAATCACAGTGACACACCATGAGAAAGACTTAAGTGGCCTATGCTGGCTTTAGTGATGGAGGAAGGGGCCATGGAGCCAGGCAATGCAGGTGGTTTAAGATATTGGAAAAGACAAGGAAATTGATTCTCTCCCAGAACCTCCAGAAGGAACACAGCCCTGAGACACCCGATCTTAACCCAGTGAGACTCATTTCAGACTTCTGAGTTGCAGAACTATAAGGTGATAAGTTTGCATTGTCTTAAGCCCCCCAATTCATGGTAATTTCCTGCAGCAGCCATAGGAAACCAACAGTATCTAAAGCGTCCTTTTAATGTCTGAATGTTACAAACATTGATGTTGGAAATACTGCAGAATGAGGTTCAAAAAACACAACAAAATACATGCAATGTGCAAGTCTCAAAACCAACATTTGTTTACCTACATATTGAAACAGAAATGTGCAGGGAAACCACAAATAAAGTTCCACAAAATTTAAACAATTTGTATTTAAGTTTCGTTTTCTGTGAGGTCTAAAACACACAGAGCAATGGGCATGAAGTGTGCAGTGCAATGAAGGGAAAGCTGAGTGAATTTGCACAAGTGTCTTTACCTGTAGGACCACTACTCAGATCAAGATATAGAACATCTCCAGCACCCCAAGAAAGTTCCCTTGCAAAAAAAAAAAAGAAAAAGAAAAAAGAAAGTTCCCTTGCTTCTCCCCTGTTCCCAACCCAACCCAACCCAACCCAAATGGATGTTACCAAGCAACATCCATTTCTTTGCCTGTTCCACACTTTTAAACAATTAATAAAATCACATGGATGTTCTCCTTTGTGTCTGGCTTTTCTCGTTCAGTTTAATACATATACTTTTAGATTCATGTGTGTTATTGTGTGTATCCTTTCTGTTTGTACCCTTTATTTCTGAATAACCCTCCATTATATGAATAAACTGTGGTTTACTTGTCCATTCTCTGACTGAGAGACACATGGGTTGTCTGCAAATATGAACATCTGTATTCTACGAATACGGCTGATAGCAACATTTGAGGACAAGTGTCTGTGTGGACATGATTTTCCTTTCTCTTGAGTGAGTGTCTAGGAGTGAAATTGCATGTTCAGTTAGTAGATGTTTGTCAAATAGTTTTCCAAGTGGTTGAGCCAACATACACTCTCACCAGGACTCCTGAGTCATTGCACTTTTAAAGTCTATAACAAAGGGAGGAAGCTTTGTTATAAATGGAAAACCAGTATCTCCCCCTTCCCCTCCCCCTTTGTTTACAGTATGTAGAGTAATCATAAAAATATGCACAGGAAAGCACCACCTTCTGGCTGGATACTTTGCCTGAGCAGGAAGATGCTCTCTCTCAGAGAGGGGACAGGGGTGGGAAGGTAGGAAGGCATGTTAGCATCAAATCCAGACTTTCTCATCCAGGCAGTGGAACTACCTCACCCCTTTTCGGCTACCATCAAAAACCCCAGAGAACAACCAGTGTTGTTGGGGATATGGAGAAAAGGGACCCTTGTGCACCATTAGGAATGTGGATTGGTATGGCTGCTGTAGAAAACAGTATGGAGCTCCTGGAAAAACTAGAGAGAATTGCCCCATGACCCAGCAATTCCACATCAGGGCTTATTCCCCAAAGAAATGAAAGGAGGGTCTCAAAGAGATATTTGCACAGTCATATTCATAGCAGCATTATTCACAATAGCTGCAGCATTGATCGGACAAGCCAAATGTGTTGTTCAGCCTTAAAAAGGAGGGAATTTCTGTGCTGCAACCTGGATGAACCTTGAGGAAGAACATTATGCTGCGTGACATAACAAGGCACAAAAGGACAAATACTGTATGATTCCACTTACATGGGAAGCTAGGGTAGTCAAATTCATAGAGATGGAGTGGGATGGTGGTTCCAGCGGCTAGAGGACGGGGTGGGGTCCATGGTGGAGTGGACCAGAGGGGTAGGACCAGAGCAGAGCTAAGGCTGGGACCGGGACCGTATTTTCTATGACAGGAGCAGGTGCGCTTAGCACCGGTTGGATGTGCAGGTGAGGAGACAAGTGGACGGTGGAGGGAAAAAGGTGGAGCCCGGGAGGCAGGCTGTGCCCGGGGCTGGGGTTTCCAGGGTTTGGGAGTTGTCCCTGTCTGTAAGGAAAGCCAACATGATGATTAATAAAGTTGAAGCAAAGAACATAGTCTGCATATCTGCTCTTAGTGTCTTAGTTTCTGACATGAAAACATTTCAGATCTACTCACAGGTACAGGGATAGCCCTAAAAGCCACATCTCCCCACTTTGCAGGTTCAGAAATCATCATTTGTTTGCTTACTCTGACTTCCTTTGATCTGTCTTTTTCCTTTGCTGTAGAAGTATGTATGTATGTATGTATGTATTAAGTAGGTTCTACACCCAATGTAGGGCTTGAACTTACAACCCTGAGATAGAGTTGGCTGCTCTACTGACTGAGCCAGCCAGGTGCTCCCCCAGAAGTATTTTATTTTATTTTATTTTTTATTTTTTTAAAAAAAGACTTTTAATTTTTTTTTATTTATGATAGTCAGAGAGAGAGAGAGAGAGAGAGAGAGGCAGAGACACAGGCAGAGGGAGAAGCAGGCTCCATGCACCGGGAGCCTGATGTGGGATTCGATCCCGGGTCTCCAGGATTGCGCCCTGGGCCAAAAGCAGGCACCAAACCGCTGCGCCACCCAGGGTTCCCCCCCAGAAGTATTTTAGAGCAAATCTCAGCCATCATGTTAATTGGCTTTTACACACTACAAAAAGATCTCTAAAAAAAAAAAATAATAAAATGGGTATTTTCTGACCTGTCCATAAGACCATTTCCACACCCAGCAGAAATGATGAGACTGCCCTGACATCATCGAAAATCCCAAAGCATCATCAATTTCCTTGATTGTCTTGTTTCCTTGATTTTTTTTTCACACTAGGTTTCTTTGACTCTGACTCCAAACAGGGTCCCCACATGCAATTGACTGTGTGTGTGTTCTGCATTTGATTATTTAGTCACTAATATCTCTTTGGATCTAGACTATGTGCCCTGTGATTTCTAAATTTGCTATAACGATTTTTATTTGTGTACACCTAAGTAAAGAAGAAAATGCTTTAAAGCTTTTCCCCCCTACACCAAGAGGATTTACTCCTTTAAAAAAATTACTATTTGCCAGAGCAGTCTGTAGGTTAAAATAATGCAAGGCTGATAATACAGACAGCTCCCTAGAATAAGGAGCTAAACCAGCTGTAGAGTCCTAAGGTAAAGGATTACACAGTGTCACTCAGCTCCTTGCAAACAATTTCTTGAATTTTGGGTTGACAGGATAGAGAATGAGAATACTAAAGAGCTTTTCCTTTTATTTTTTTAAAAGATTTTATTTATTTATTTTTTTTAAAAGATTTGCTATCTGTGAGAGACACAGAGAGAAAGGCAGAGACACAGGCAGAGAGAGAAGCAGGCTCCCTCAGTGGAGCCCAATGCGGGACTCGATCCCAGGACCCCGGGACCTCAACCTGAGCTGAAGGCAGATGCTCAACCACTGAGCCACTCAGGCGTCCCAAGAGCTTTTCTTTTTAAATTAGACCTTTAACCTCCACCTTGGGAATGCTTCTAGGTTTTCCTTTATGCCAGCAAAGGAGAATGTTGGGGCTGTTGGGGGCTGGCAGGAAGACCATGGCCCTTATCTTTGCAGCCAGAGGGATTCTGGGGGTGAGTCTCCCTAAAACCTTCTGGCTGTGTGCTTTGGGCTGCGGAATGAACATGCGTGTGAATGTGCTGCTCTCTGGCTCCTACCTTGATACTCCTATTCCCTTTGTTGCCTTATTTGCCTCTAGGGCACCGTTCGGTGCGCTGTCTCTCCCCACTGGGCCCTGCTAGAATGCAAGCTGCACAAGGGCAGTAAGCTGGGCCTCTGGCACTGCTGTGTCTCTGGCCCCTAGAAATAGTGTGTGGCACACAGATGGCCCTCCGTAAAAACTTGTGGATTGACTAAATGTTTGTCAGGTTCTGAACTCTGTGCCTGAGGAAGCTGACAGATTGTCTGAAGAGAAACTTGTCTCAGAGACCCTACGTCCTTGGAAGATGCAGAGCCTCAGGCCTGAGCAGATTCGGGGGCTGCTGGAGCCGGAGAGGACCAAGATGCTGCTGCCCTGGGAGAGCAGGACCTGGGAGAAGCGCATCACCTCCACCAAAGACTGGGTGGCTGTGGAGGTTGAGGCTGCCAGCTGTGACAGTGATGAGAAAGGTGAGGGGCAGGTGTCCCATGGGAGGTGGGGGGAAGGTTGTGGCAGAGCCTTGGGGAGAGAGACACACTCATTCCTTCACTCATTCATTGGACAGATATGTGTCCCCCAGCCTTTGCTGTGTGGCAGGTCGCCCCAAAACTTAGTGACTTAAAGCAATAGCCATTTCTCTGCTCACAATGCTGCAGGTCAGTGTATGATGTGGCCTCAGGGGACAGTTCTCCCAATGCCCATGCCTGCATTTGAGCTGGCAAGCCAGCTGGTTGACGTGCAATCACCTCACTTATATGTCTGAGTGGTTTGATGGCACTGACTTTGGGCTACTTGTCTCCCATAGGCCAGCCCAGGCTTTTTCTCATGGGGGTGGTTGCATGGCAAGAGAGGGAAAGCCTCAATTCACAAGCACTTTGTAAGCTGTACGGGCACCCAATTGCTCACACGCCATTGGTCAAAATAAGCTATGTGGTCAAGTGCAGCATCATCAAGGGAAAGGGCTGGACACAGGGATCAGTGAACGGGTGGAAGGCCATTTGAGACAAAAAATTACCAAAAACACCTACTATGTGCTGGACGCTCTAGATCAAGCAGTGAATGAGATGGCCCCAGGAGAGTTTAGATTTTAGTGGAGAAACAGACAATAAACAACTAATGAAATAAAAAGGAAAGTAGTGTCTGATGAGAGCTCTGAAGACAGTAAAATGGAATGATTGACGGAGAGGGACCCAAGGGTGCTCAGGGAGGGCGAGAGAGGCAGGAGAAGGGGTCATTTACTCGAAGAGCTGGTGGTTGCGAGTGGGCAGCTGGAGCCGCACATGCAATAACCCCGCAGTGGTGACAAGCTTACCGTGTTGCAGGAGGCTGTGGTAAACAGAGAAGAAACAGTTGTCTTCCTTCATTTGAAGGAACTGAGACTCAGGTGGCAGATCACATTCAAGTCTCCTATTCACTGTGACCACCTGGGCCATGTGGGCCAGAATGTGTGTGAGCTGGCGGGTTATGCAGGAATGAGGAGGACAGGAGTAGGATGCCAGGTGGAGGAGCAGGGAAAGCTCCCCAACCCCCATCCCCACCCACCGCCAGCTGGCCTGGTCACTGGCTCATGGCTCCCCTGGTCACTGGCTCATGGCTCCTTTTCCCTGTACTCAGGTCTTTCTTCTCAAGAGCCTGGACTGGCCCAGGAGTGGAACCCGGTGGAAGGAGATGAAGAATCTGAGGACTCGCAGGTGAGTTGGGGATTTCCTCCTCATTTGCTCATTCCACAGCCATTTATGGAGCACTTACTATGTGCCAGGCAGTGTTCAAGGCACTGAAGTACGACAGTGAATGGGATAGAAATGGTGCCTCCCTCTGTTGGATTTACAGTCACTAACGTGGACAGACAAGCAAAATAAGTAGCTAAATTACAAATCATGCTGGATGGTATTAAGTGCTATGGAGAAAACTAAGCCAGGAAGGGGGTTCAGAAGTACAGGGTAGGGGTAGTATCCAGGGAAGTCTCTACTGAGAGGGAGAGGTTGGAGTAGAGGCAAGAAGGACGTGGGGGAGTGAGCCTGGCAGATGTCTAAGTGGGAAGAGGTTCTAGGCAGAAGGCACAGCAAGTGGAAAGGCCTTGAGGTAGGAGTGTGCTCTGCACATGTGAGGAACAGCCATAGGAGTCAGTTGCTTGGAGAAGAGTGGTGGTGGGGGAGTAGGAGGAGACAAGGTCATGGAGGTGTTGGATGATGTAATATCTGTTGACCATGGTAAGAATTTGGCTTTTACCCTGAGTAAAGATGGGAGCTATAGGAGAGCTCTGGACAGAGCTGGGAACAGTTCCAACTTCTGTTTTAACAGGACCCCTCTTGCTGCCAGGTTCCATTCCAGAGGGTTGGGTGTGTCTTATGGGCAGTGGGGAGCCATTCAAGGGATTTGCAGATGCAGAGAAGTCACGCTGGTAGCCCATGTGGAAGGAAGGGGGTTGGATGAGGTGGAGGAATGGGTGTAGAAGCCAGTTAGGACCTCCAGGTAGGAAACAAAAATAGATGGGAATGACATAGGTAGGAGCTGCCACTCACCTCATGAGGCTGATGCGATTCTCAGTGCTTCTCTTTATTAATTCATTTATTAACCAATTCATTTATTAACCAAGGGGAGGTGCCTAGAGGGTCTGCAACAACATTCATTCATTCATCCATTCACTGAGCTCTGACTTGTTCAGCCAGCACTGACAGAGTGCATGCTGGGGCAGGGGGCACCTCTCACTGGCCGGCTATGGGTCCTGACCCAGCTGAGCTTCTGGCATCCACAGAGCCTCCTTCCTCCTGGTGGTCTCCTTCCCAAAACCAAAGAGGATGAGGCCGTGTGGGACCAGAGACCATGAATAATAATAATAGCCAGCTTCCACAGACCTCACCATGCAGTTTCTTCAATTTATTTGATTCTTTTAACGGTTTCTTGAGATAGGATTTGTTATGGTCCCATTTTAAATATGGTGAAACTAAGGCACAGAGGCATTAGGTAATTTTCCCTAGATGACTCAGCTTGTGAGTGATAGAGCTGGGATTTGAATCCAGTACATCTCTTGAGCATTCTAGTATTCTGCTGGTCTGGGATTTTATCCTCTCCCAAGAGAGGACCTGGGATAAGGCATAAGGGCCTGTGCTCATCCCACGAATCAGACGTCACTCACCTCTCATGTCATAAATGCAAGCCTCATCTAAGTGCATGAGGTTAAAAGAGAAACACTAACACCCAGAGATAACCCCTGGTGGGCAAAAGTTGCTGACAGAACCTGTCTACAACATCCAAGATTGAAATAGCTTTCCCTTTGCGGAGACCTAAATGAAGGAGGATTTGGAGTACAGATGATGAGGTGCTTCTTATTCTGGGCTCTGGGGACATGGGTGCTCACTTCCTGAAGATCCATCAGGTGGTAATTAAAATGTGTGCAAGTTTCTTTTTGCATATTACACTCCAACACAATGTTTTTAAATTTTTTAAATTTATTTTTTGAAGGTTTTATTTATTTATTTATTTATTTATGAGAGACACAGGCAGAGGGAGAAATAGGCTCCCTATGGGAGCCCAATGTGGGTCCTGGGATCACGACCTGAGCCAAAGGCAGATGCTCAACCACTGAGCCGCCCAGGCGCCCCCAAGAGAATGTTTTCGAAAAGTTGCCATGAATCCTTATAGATGTTTTTCCTCTTGGAAACTGAGACTAGCTGGGATGTATTGTGTGAGAGATTTGTGAGGGAGCATGCTCTTGGGAGGAACCTGCAGATAGTGAGGGGAGCTTGAAAGAGCCAGTGGGAGGGAGGCAAATATATGGGTTTAACTGGGGTCCACCCTGGGCCTGATCCCATGAGGAGCTCTGGAGCGTCCATAGCCCTCGCCCTCCTGTGAGCCAGGGGGAGTGTATTATGCCCCATCCCTGGTATGGACGGCTGACCTCCCACATGATTCCCTGAGGTGGGGGTGGAATGGCTTCCATTAGCAAAGGGCATTTCTCAGAAGGGGGCAATCATAAACAGAAGAGATAAACCATAGTTCATGGCCAATATGCACAGCAGTTGGAAGAGCAACAAAGGGGAACAAGGTAAGGGGCTGATGAGGCCATTATTAGTGGTAGAAGTTGTGTGTGTGCATGTACGTCAAATGTCTGCATGTCAGATGACCTGTATTTATTACATTTTTCTTCTTAACTTTATACTCTGCCTTAAAAAATGATAAGAATTTCCAATAAAATGCACAGGTCAGTGAGTGTGTACATGTGTATATGCCCGTGTAACCACAATATTCTGGATAGTTTTCCATGTTGATATATATTGATCACCTTTGTTCTTTTTTAAAATCACTTTTTTACAGCTGCCAAAATATTCTGTAGTATTCTCGGTCATACCCATTTCCTCAGCTGATGAATTGTCAGATTTTTAGTGTTGTTGCCACAGAAAAATAAACATCTGTCCTCTTTTTCAATAGCACAAATTATGAGGAAATTTGTAAAAATACATTATTTTCTGGTCCTATCCAAGGTGTACTGCATCCAAAAATCCAAGGGCAGAGCCCTGATATTTGAAAAATCTTCCAAGTTTTTCGTTTTCTTTTTTTTAAAAGACTTTATTTATTTATTCATGAGAGACAGACAGAGAGAGAGAGAGAGGCAGAGACACAGGCAGAGGGAGAAGCAGGCTCCACGCAGGGAGCCTGACATGGGACTGGATCCTGGGTCTCCAGGATCACACCCTGGGCTGCAGGTGGCGGCGCTAAACCGCTGTGCCACCGGGGCTGCCCCCTTCCAAATTTTTCTGTGGTGGAGCTGCTTACGTGAGTTATTTTCTCCAGATTGTAAAGGGGAGCTTTGAAATGAGATGGTGTCCAGCAGTGGACAGCAGGCCAGAAGGAGGACTTAGTCCTTTTTCAAAGATTAGAGATGTGAACCCCATCAACAATTTATCATATGCTTTAACATTTCATAGGATATGCTACATCCATTTCTCTTCTTTTTAAGGATTTTTTTTTCATATTGCCACTGCCTGGCTTTCTAGATAACTCACTATGTCATATCCATTCCCCGAACCTCCCTGATATTTTATACCAGTCGCACTATACTGATCACTAATTTGGAGAAGAATTGTCATCATTAACCATTTTGTCTTTCCATCCTTCATCATGGTATGTTTTTCCATTTATGTGTTCATTTGACAGGTATTTACAGAGCTCATACATACTCTGTATCAGGTAAGAAACAAAGGTGGCCCTTCCATTTCTAACTTTTCCTTTTTAAAAAAATTTTTTTTTCTCTGTTTCAGGGCTTTTTGGAGTGGTCGAAAGCTCCGCAACAAACGACAATAGTCTTGGTAGTGTGTGTCCTGTTTTTGTTCCTGGTTTTAACGGGGATGCCTATGATGTTCCACATTTAGCTATAGTGGTGGCAATTGTCCTGAAATAGATGTCCTGTTTCTTGTTAAGGAAATGTCTTGGTTCAAAATCAGGAATAGGTATTGGATATTAGCAAATGCCTTTCAAACATTCATCAAGATGATTTTTTTTTGATATTTAATCTTCTGGTGTGAGGTTTTGCATTACTGTATTTCACTGAACTTAAAACATTGTTGATTGTAAAATACATATTATTTTATATACTACTGAAAAAGGAAAACATGCCACGTCGTTGTCAGATGCCACCAACTGGAAGATGCCTCCTGACTTTAGAGATTATGGAAAAATGAGCAATTTGGGATTGATGAAATCTGTGGATTTCTTAATATCAAATCATCTTTGTAGACTTGGGATTGTGGTGCAATCCTGGCCCTTGGGATCGTGGTGCAATCCTGGCTCTTGGGATTGTGGTGCAATTCTGACCCTGGATTATATGTCTTGATATTTTATGTATGATTCTTGCCTCTATCTTCATACGTAAGATTGGTGCTATCTTTGTCAAGTTTTGGTAACATGGTGAGTGAGGCTTGCATCATAGAAGGACATGACATTTACTGTTGTCTAAACTTTAGAATAGTTTCTGTAGCTTAAGAATTAACACTTCCTTGACATTTTTGAAAGAATTCGCTAATAAAGGAATCAGGACCTAGAGCTACAGGGGAAAGTTTCAGCTAAATTCTTGGGTGACTTTTTCAGTTTCTTCCCATGTTATCAGTTTATGAATACTTTTATACTTCATTCATTTTGATGATTTGTAGTGGTTTTTATGCCCTAGGAAATTCTTTATTCCATTGAAAATTTCAGACTTTAGTTTAATTATGAATACTATTCTATAATTAACCAAAAAACTTCTCTTTATTTTGTTCCAACCACTGTCTTCCTTTCGACTTCTGTTTGTGGTTTACCCATTATTAGATTTGTCAAAGTTTTACCTTGTCTATGATTTCTTTTCCAAAGAACTAGAATTGGGATTTATTTGTATCCATGTTTTGCTAGTTTGTGATTTGTTTTCCATGGAGACGTATGGGGTTTATTTTATTACTATTTTTATTCCTTGTCTGTTTTTACGTTGAATAATTAACTCATTTATGTCTTTTTATGAAATTACTTGCTAAAATAGCATACTTAAGAATAAATATATTTCTGATTATATAGCCTTGGCCACATCTTAAAGTTTGGTAATATGTGTCCTTGTCTAAATAAATGTTCTATTGTAGTGTTTTTTTTCTAAAGAGTGCTTTGAAACTCAGTGATCAGTTATTTAAAAATAGTTTTGTTTTAATGATTTACTGCACTGTGAAAAAAGAATGTGGCCTCAAACATATCTGCTTTCAATACCTTTTTAAAAGTCTTTTATTGTGTCAAAAACCAATAAGGTTACATGGAAATCTGGTAGTACAATCATGTTTGTCAATATCTTTTTGCAATCTTTGCTTTATGAATTCAGCCACTGTGTTCCCTGATGCATATAAGTTACAGCACTGTTAACATCTTTGCCAATTAAAGAATACATGTAAAACACCAAGCACAATGCCAGGCATATCATAGCCATGCAATAAATGTTAGTTAAAACCTGATTCTGAATCCTCTGTGAAAAATAAAATGATTATCTTTAAACCAATTTAATCCTTGGCTTAAATTTTACCTTGTCTGATAGTGGTTGGTATTTCCATCCTGCAAGAGTGGAAATGGGAAGATGCCTGTGGGGACTGTCCCAGATGTCCCGGCCAGAGGAGCTGCTGTGGGGGCTGTGGGCTACAATTAGTCTGGCCTATGCCACACATCTTAGTCAAATTTGTAGGATATTGAAAATAATCATGATGGGTGCCTGGGTGGCTCAGTTGGTTAAGTGTCTGCCTATGGCTCAGGTCATGATCTCGGGGTCCTAGGTGGAGCCCCACATTAGGCTCCCTGCTCCGCGGGGAGTCTGCTTCTCCCTCTCCCTCTGCCCCTCCCCCTGCTTGTGCTCTCTCTCTCTCTTTCTCAAATAAACAAAATCTTAAAGAAAATAATCATGAGGGACACCTGGGTGGCTCAGCAGTTGAGCATCTGCCTTCTTGCTCAGGGCATGATCCCAGGGCCCTGGGATTAAGTCTCGTATCAGGCTCCTTGCACGGAGTCTGCTTCTCCCTCTGCCTATGTCTCTGCCTCTTTCTTTCTGTGTGTCTCTCATTAATAAATAAAAAAAAATTTTAAAAAGAAAAAAAAGAAAATAATCATGATAATAGTGTAAGTCATATAAGTCGTGGTCATTTATTTGGGATCTCTCACATGCCAGAAGCCTCATTTCATTGATGATGGAAGTATCCACCCACACCACTAATGTTCTTTTTTTAAAATATTTTATTTATTCATAGAGACACAGAGAGAGAGAGAGAGGCAGAGACACAGGCAGAGGGAGAAGCAGGCTCCATGCAGAGAGCCTGACGCGGGACTCGATCCCAGGGTCTCCAGGATCACGCCCTGGGCTACAGGTGGTGCTAAACCGCTGCACCACTGGGGCTGCCCAGCCCTAGTGTTCTATTCTCCATTCAACAGCCAGACAGATCCCTTGAAACCATAATTAAGACCATTCAAAAAAAAAAAAAAAAAGACCATTCCTAACTGAATTGCTTCCGCAGGTAAAAGCCAAAGTCCTCACAGTGGTTGTCCATCTCTGCCGGAACTGGCCTGTGCTTGTACCTCTCCCTCCATTCCATCTGCACTGGCCTTCTGTTGTTTGAACAAGCCCATCATGCACGTGCCTCGGGGCCTTCACACTGACTCTGGAATGGACTCTGCCTGGAATGCTCTTGCCCTGAAAGCTGCCATGGCTCCCTCACATCCTGCAATGCTCTGCTTCAGTGTCTCCTCTGAGAGGCCTCCTTCACTGTCCCCAAAGCACCTCCATCCTTGGTCACTCTGTCTTCATAGCCTGTACCACCACCTGACAATTATGGATTCATGAGGTTCTGGTCTGTCCTCCTCTGCTTGGTCTCCCCGGAGGAGCTGAGTCCTGGGAAGGTTGAGTTGGGGGTGAGGGTGGGGCTGCAGAGTTCAGCCTGCACTTCCCAGGGACTCTCCCCATGCCAGCTTGTGGGACCCCAATCCTTTCTGACTCCACCATGTGCCTGAGGTTTCTCTGTCCCCTCTGGGAACAGGACATGCTGGACCAGGGTGGTATCTATATATAGTATCTGGGGAACATAGTGCGGCGGATGGGGGAAGGGATGTCAAATAAGTGGGCTAAAATCCTAAAGGAGAAACTGGCTTGCCTGGTGTGAGGTTGATGGGGGCTGCGTGGCGGTGTTTTTCAAATGCCAATTCCTTTGCCCCCTCACCTCATCCGTAATTTCGAAAGCTCTGAAACAGGTCTCCTTGGCAGCTGACCTCCTGGGGCTCAGCTTCTTCACGGTTGTGTGGCTGTGCGCCACTTTCCCCAGCAGGAGGGACCCCAGGCAGCCCTGTCCTCTGGGGCTGCTGGGACGCTTATCGCGCACACGCCCACCCTCCGGGGTTTGTGGGCTGTACTGCCGGCCGCTTGGCCGCCCCCGGAGATGGAGACACAGCAGCGCCTGCCCCAGCGAGGCCAAAATCCAAGTGAGGCCCTGCTGTGCAGGTGCACTGGACCTGGACCGCTCTCCTTGAGGTTTCGGGTTGGGCTCCAACGCCCGACGCCAGCCCCGCCCAAGGCCCCGCCCCATACCACACATTGATTCATTCACCCAGCACTCCCTGAGCACCTACTGTGTGAGAGCACCTGGGCTGGGCGAAAGTCAGAAGGAGGAGTCGGACTCTGTGGTCCATGACCCTGAATGGCTCTAGAGTTGGAGATAGGCTTGTTCAACTATTCATTCACTCAGTATTTCTTGAAGACCTACTGTGTGCTGAGGCGTGAGCTGGGAGAAGTCTGGGGCATTGGGATGAACTGTGTCATCCCTGACCCTGAATAACTCCAGGGTCTATGCTGGGAGGGACAACTATGTATTCAGTCACCTCGAGCTTCTTAAGGACCTACTATGTGCAGAGCCTTGGGCCAGCTTGGGTCGTAGGAAGGAACCAAAATGCATGCTCTCTGATCCAGGGCTGGTGTTAAGGATGTTCACTTATTAATTTACCTGATCTATTGATTTATATCTCCTAAGGACCTACTGTGTGCTAATGCTTGGGTTGGGTGATGTGTGGGGTACAGGTAGGAACCAACTCTGTGGTCTCTGACCCTGAATGGCTTCAGGGCTGATGTTGGGATGCTGGGATCCTGAGGACCTACTCTGTGCTGAGGCCTGAGTCTTGACTCAGACACCATGAGTCATGACTCTGTAAGACAGAATCAGGGATTTGTCACTCATCCGTCTATTTGTGTGAGATTTCCTGAGGACCTACTGTGTGCCAAAGCCTGTGCTGGTAATGCCAGGGCAAAAGTGAAGGTACACATCCTGTCCTCTTTGGCCCCTCACAGCTCCCTTAGTAGGACCAAGAGACAGGGAAGCTGGTGGGCAGGGAGACAGGTGTCTTTGTGTTTATGTATCTGTGTCCCTGGCTTAGCTTCCCTCCCCCTTACACACATTAAAGATCATTGATGTTTATTTTCAAATTACGTCACCTTTTCAAACTTTTTCAGGGACTAAGGAAATCTAATTCTTGACTGGATGATATCAAGAAATTAATGTTTCAGTGGGTGTATAATATTGTGGTTGTGTAGAAGATACTTTTTTTTAGGGATGCAAACTAAGGTATTTAACAATAAAGTGAGGTCATGTCTGTAATTTACTTTAAAATTGACCAGGGGAAAAAATAGACATATTTTCATGACCTATTTTAAAAGCAAATATGTATCATAAACTATGGTAAATCTTGTTATGAAACCATTTTTAGGTATCGTGTTCCTATTAAAATTGTTTTCTTCAAGGCATTCAAACTAGATGGGTGGACAAACATCTATTATATTTTTTTGTAGAACTGAAAAACCTCACAACATTTCTTTAATGTGGGTTTTTTTACATCGTCCCATTACACAGGAAAGTTTGTTGGGCAACCCTGAAAAAAGTCATTTCTAACAGAAAAATATTTTTCTGTGATTTTTCCTTTTCTGGAGCTGAACAAATCACAATGAGATCAAAACAATCATAAATGATTCTATACCTATGAAATCTGATGCCCTAATTCTGTGAAATGACTGATCATGTCCATTTTCATCTATTGATATAAGGTAAATAATAAAAGGTGGGAAACTGTGTGCCATACACTACTATTGTGTAGAAAGGTATACTATACATCTTTTTAGCATTTTTACACATATAAATGAATATCCACATAAATATTTGCTTATATATGCATAGAACAAGCTGGATAGATACCAGGAAACTCAAGAATGGTTGCTTCTAGGGAGAGATTCGGTGGGTAGAGGGAATGGAGATGGATAAGGATAAGGTTTTTTTGTTGTGTTAATTATGGACCAAACAAATGTGTTACCCCTAAAATAATTCTGCAGAAATCATGCTGTAGGAGAACTTACCTCGCTGGCATAATAGGTGACTACTCTGTCTCCCCACATCGTTGGGAAGGCCCTTCCTATACTGCCCCTGGTCTTGGCTATGATGTTTGCTTTGGCTGACAGGTCTAGAAGCAAACTTGACATAATCCAAAGCTCTAAACTGCAAAGTTGGCCTGGCTGGGCCATCCTGGGACAGCCAGCTACTGTCCAGCCCTCAGCTGACCGCAGATGTGTAAATGAGTCTAGCCAACATCAACTGAGCCTGGTCCAGAATCAGAGAAACCCCCAGGATAGGAAATAATAAATGGACAACTGTACTGATTTGTTACACAGCAACAGCTAGCTGACATAATCACTGAAGGCAGGATATTGAGCTGGGGCAGGGAAAGTGTGTCCTCACACTGGAAAAGGCTGGGCTCCACTCTAAAAATCTCCCTTTGCAGGTCTGTCAGGGGAGAGGTAAGTCTCTTCTAGAACTCTTCCTTCTTTGGATTTTTCTGGTTGTCCTAATCTGGGAAGCACCGGGTCAGTGCCAAGAACCCACAGCTCTCCTCCAGACCCTCTCCCTTCGTTAATACGCCAACTTCATCAAAGGGGCTGAAACTTTTATCCAATTAATTTTATTGAACAAATGCCTACTCGATCATAAAAACTTCAACCACTAACAGGCTAGCTAGAGATGCACAGACAGTACTTTGGGTCCACTGTCGTGGACGTTTATCATTCTGAACCAAGAGGCAGTGGGTCTCTGTGTGGTGGAGATGGGGGCTGTCTGGCAGATGTGGAGGGGAGGCCCGGCCCTGTGGCTTCCTCCCTGTGTGACCCTGGGCAAGTCACTGAGCTTCTCTGAGCCTCGGTTTTCTCATGGGGAGGCTAGGGTCTCTCCCCTGGGTGCTGTGCGGTCAGAAGTGAGGTGTGAAAGTGCTCGGTGCAATGCCTGACTAGGGGAGGACCTCATTTTCCTGCTGGTCTGCGGCAGTGTCTGAAGAGTCGCTGCTGCTCACAGGCTTCTCCTCCCTCCGGGAGCTCAGAGGTCGAGTTAGGTGTGGCAGCTGCGTGAAGGTGTCGCCACACTGGGTGCGCGGGTAGGCCTTCTTGTCAGTGTGCATTCTCTGGTGTCGGATGAGGGCAGACGAGAAGCTGAAGGCCTTGCCACAGCTGCTGCACTCGTAGGGCTTCTCCCCAGTGTGCACGATGTGGTGCTGGATCAGGTAGGAACGGTTGCTGAAGGCCTTGCCGCACTCGTGGCACGTGTAGGGCCGCTCACCCGTGTGCGTCCGCTGGTGCAGAGTAAGCGAGGAGCCCTGGCTGAAGGCCTTGCCACACTCTGTGCACCTGTAGGGCTTCTCACCCGTGTGGATCTTCTGGTGCTCAATGAGGGAGGACACATGGCTGAAGGCCACCCCGCACTCTAGGCACTTGTAGGGCTTGGCGCCCGTATGCACCAGGTGGTGCTGCACCAGGTGGGAGCGGTTGCTGAAGGCGCGGCCGCAGTCCTGGCACGCATAGGGCCGCTCACCTGTGTGCACGCGCTGGTGCTGGCTCAGGTGTGACACCTGCGTGAAGGCCTTCCCGCACTGTGTGCATGCATATGGCTTCTCGCCTGTGTGGATACGCCGATGCTCCGTGAGTGAGGCGCTCTGGCTAAAGGGCGCGCCACACTCGGGGCACGTGTAGGGCTTCTCACCAGTGTGCACACGCCGGTGTTGCGTCAGATGCGCGATTTGTGTGAAGGCCTTGGCGCACTGGCTGCAGGCGTAGGGCCGCTCGGCCGTGTGTGTGCGCTGGTGGCGGATGAGTGCCGACGAGAAGCGGAAGGCCTTGGCGCACTGGCCACAGGCATATGGCTTCTCGCCAGTGTGGATGCGCTGGTGCTCCAGCAGGGATGAGCGGTTGCGGAAGGCCTTGGCGCACTGACCGCATGCATAAGGCCGCTCACCCGTGTGCACGCGCCGGTGCTGGGCCAGGTGTGTGGGACGTGCGAAGGCCTTGCCGCAGTCGGTGCAGTGGTGTGGCCGCTCACCTGTGTGCGTGCGCCAGTGTGATGCCAGGTAGGAGCCCTGGCTGAAGGCCTTGCCACACTCGGGGCACGCGTAGGGCCGCTCGCCCGTGTGCGTGCGCTGGTGCAGGGTCAGGTGCACACTCTGGCTGAAGGCCTTGCCGCACTCAGCGCACGTGAACGGCTTCTCACCGGTGTGGGTTCTTTGGTGCAGCGTGAATGCCGAGCAGTAGCTGAAGGCCTTGCCGCAGTCGCCACACTTCCACGGCTTTCTGGGGCCATCCTCTCCCTCCTCCTCGCAGGCGGCCTTCTTCTGCTTCGGGGGCCTTCTAGGTGCACTGCGCCCCTGGGGCCTGCTGTCGGCTGGGGGAAGGGGCGGGCTCGGGCTGGTGCCCGGGACCTCGCTGGGTTCATCCTGTGCCTGCACAGTGGCCCCGGCAGTGTCCTCCCCGCGGGTGGTGGCTTCTGCCTTGGGATAGCTTTCCAGCTTTCCCTGCAGGTCCTTGAACTGACCTTCTTGTTCCTGGGATGCTCCCACCTCAGAGCCCTGGGGGGCAGCCATGGCCAAGAGACCTTCTTTCATCTGTGCTTCCTGAGCCACTGTTTTCACATCTTCGTTACTAGATCTGAAAGGAAAGGGAAAAACCAAATAGGTTGGTCATCTGTCCCGGGCTGGAGAAGATGTCGTGCAGAGTCCCAACCGCCATACCACTGGCAGTTCGGCTCAGATGTTCTTTATTGCAAGGTGGTCTGCGCCCTTCAGGATGTTTAGCAGTGCCCCTACTTCTACCCATTGATTGCAGGTAGCATCCCCGATAAGGTGTAACCAGAAGTGACACCAGAAGTGTCTCTAGACATTTCCAAGGGTCCCCTGGGGGGCAAAATGATCCCTCATTGAGAATCACTGATTAACAGAACTGAAAACAAGTTTATTTAAAGATTTTATTTATTTATTTGAAAGAGAGAGTGAGAGCATGAGCAGGGGGAGGGGCAGAGGGAGAGGGAGAAGCAGACTCCCCATGGAGCAGGGAGCCCCATGTGGGGCTTGATCCTAAGACCCTGGGATCACGGACCTGAGCTGAAGGCAGATGTTCAACCACTAAGTCACCTAGGGACCCCTAGTGAAAACAATTTTAAAAGATCCTTGCAAAACCATGAATCTGACAGCTCTTAGATATACCCTTGCAACTTGGTCAAAGTTGCAAAGGCCAAAATGTGTCCCCTCCCTCGAAGTTCATAGATCAAAGCCTGAAGTGATGGTGTCTGGAGGTGAGGGCTTTGGGAGATAATGAGGCCCCCCATGATGGGACTAGTGTCCTCATAAGAGGAAAACAGGCCAGAGCTCCCTCTCCAGCATGTGAGTACACAGTGAGGAGGAGACTGCAAGCCGTGAAGAGGGTGCTCACCAGAACCTCAACCATGCTGATGCCCTAACCCTGGATTTCAGTCTCCAGAAGTGTGAGGAAATAAACTGTTGTTGAACACACCAAGTCTCTAGTACTTTGTTATGCCAGTCTGAGAAGAGAGTTTTGTTTTCTGGAAAATCATACACAGAGGAACAGGGGGCTCCCAACTCCACACATAATATACTGCTGGTGGGAGCAGGCACTGGAAGACCCACTGGCATCTTCTAGGAAAGCTGTAGACACAACCCCTATAGCCCAGTAATTACATTTTCTGGAACGTGAGCAAGAGAAGCATGCAAACGTGTGTACCCGGAGGCCTGGCCAAGATTGTAACAGTCCAACACCAGAAAACAATCCAACTGCCCATTAACAAGGGAGCAGTCAGATAAACAGGGTCATACAATGGAGTATCTCACAGCATAAACACGAATGCTGATCAGCTGCTGTACCAGCTCAGAACCTCAGACACACAGTGTTGGCAAACAAAGCAAGATGCAAAGAATTTATCAGGTAAGATGCATTTTAGGTAAAAATAGTCAAACTCAATCTATTTTTTTGGGATTATGATCATGTGGCAAAGGTTCACTGCTCCACTGTGGACCAGCAGCCTGTGACATGCAGGGCTTGGCCCCTCTGCAGGCCTGGCAACTTGGAATATGCTTTTTTAACAAGAGGCTCAGGCGGAGTGTCTGAGAGATGCTGGTCTTGACCACTCTGAAGCCACCTTGGGTGTACTGTTACAGTGGCAATAACTAGCACCTGCTGAACACAGAGCTATATGCCTGGCATCCTTGAAGCTTTGGCATGTGTTAGCTCACTATTCCTCACATTATTGAGGAATAATATTCCCAGAAGTGACAAGCTAGGTCCCACACCTGGGTACCTGGCTCCAGAGCTTACCCTCACAATGCCCTCGTCTACCTCCAGCTCATACTGCCCAACTATGGGCCTCACCCTGTTCCACAAATATTCCAGGAGTGCTCCTGCCTCGGGACCTTTGCACTGGCTGTTCTATTTCCCTGGAATGTTCTTCCCCTGAGCCCAGGCCTGAGGGAAAAGACTTCTGAGCATAGACCCAGAGGTGAAGGAATAAATGTTCTGGGCCATGAGTGCAGCAGGGGCAAAGGTTCTGAGCCAGGACCACAGCTTGGGTGACAGGGGAAATGCAAAGGTGCTGGGCAGTGGGGGAGGGGGTGGAACAGAACAACCAAGGCAGGTAGCAGGGGAGACTAGGTATGGTGGCGGCAAGGGTCAGACCAAGCAGGGTCTTGTGTGCAGCGGTAAGAACTCTGCTGGTGGGAGGCAGGCTGGGCTATGCCCAGTTCTGGCACCATCTTCAGGCAGTCCTCAGGGTAGAGTTAGCCCAGCTGTGTCCCCAGAGAGCTGGACAGTGGTACCCACCTTGTAGTCTTGAGAGCACTGGGTCCTGTCCATGTCACTCAGGTAGTAGCCCCTGCTCTGACCACCATGTACCAGGGGGTCCAGTCAGCATCTGTGAGAGAAAGAAATGGCAGCCATGAAGGGAAGATGCTGGGGCAAAGGCAGGTGGGCAGAACCAAACACAGGGCGTTTTCTGTGTGCGTGTGGGAGGCTATGCAGATTCAGGGCGGGGTGAGCCGGGCAGGGTCATGCAAAGAAACAGGCAACCAAAGGGGAGACACGGACACACTCAGAGGCAGACACACATATCCTGTTACACAGATATGCATGGAGTCACACAAAATCACACATGCCGTCCCGCCCCACACAGACAGCACCCACAGGGACACACCCAGACATGTGCACAGTCCTATGCAGCAGGCAGAGCTTCACATGTGCACAAAGTCACACACACACAGGGTCTCCCCTAAGTGTGGAAATGCAGCGACCCCAGGTTTGCACAGGGTCTCATACACATCCTGTGACATCTGAAGAGATCTTTACAAGCGATTGTGTTCAGACACACAGAATGACACAGGCATGCTCAGGCTGACCAGCTCCAGGATAGCAGACACACCCATGAAAACACTGTGTACAGTGGCACACCCAGACACACAGAGTCCCACACTCCACACCCAAGAGAACATGTTCCACACACCAGCACATGTGGCACAGGTCTCCAAGTGCAGACATCTGCTCAATTCTGCATGCTGCTTCCCTTTTACTGGTACATGCCCGTATGTCAGTCATGTGTAAACACACAGTGACTTAGGAGGGATGGCCTCAAGTGCAGAGTTGCACACACAGGGCACAAACTGAGGTAGCCACCCTCACGCAAACACACAGGGACAGAATCACATGCATGGCTCACACCTGCATGGGCACACAGGTGCAAACACACGATGACATGCGGGGACGGATGGTGTTACAGGCATAGCTACACCGGCACAAAGTTGTGCAGTCACACACATGCAGACACATGGAGACAGGCGGGGTGGGGCAAACACGCACGGGGACACGCACATGGTCACACACCTGCATGGGAGCAAAGTTGTGCAATCGCGCACGTGCAGACACACGAAGACACGCGGGGCGGGGTTCACACGCACACGGCGCCCGAGTCACGGACGTACACCGACACGCACCCCCGCGCACACTCACTCGCGCACGCGCATACCACACACCGCTGCCCTCGCTTCCCGGCACCAGCTCTGAAGGCCTCGGGCAGCATCCCCCGAGGTCGGTCAGGTTCTCCTGGTTCTCTGGCCCTGCCTGGCCGGTGCGGACCCCAGAAGCCCCTGGTCCCGCGGGGGCGCGGACGAGCCGGCAGCACGGGTCACGGCTACGACCACCCGGGTGGGCCTGAGCGCCAGGCCGGTGCGGACTGCGCGTGCGCGCCGGGACAGCGAGAGCCCGCGGACCGCTCCCGAGAACTACGACTCCCGGAAGGCATTGCGCCGCCGCCCTGGGGGCCCGGAAGTTCTCGGCCCTGTGCGTGGAGGGGGGAGCAGGAGGGCTCCGAGTGGTGGGCGGGGCCAGTCACAGGAGGCGGGACTCTTCTTCCTCAGAGGAGGGGAGGGGCGGAGTTGACAGGCTTACAACTGGATCAGAGCTGCTAAGTCACTTACCGCAGGCGGCGCAGCACAGTCGGCGGGAGCTGGCGGTTCCAACCCACAGCTCGGGATGAAGTCGTGGAAAGCATTTGTCTCAGCAATTTGCTCTAATTCCCTTCCACAGCAGAGCAGGTGGCAAATCCATAGATGTGGGCCAATGGTTATAATAGCAAACATGTACATCTACGGGACTCCTGGCCAGCCAGTCTTTTATTTATTTTTTTAATTTAATTTTTTTTAAGATTTTATTTATTCATTCATGAGAAAGAGAGAGGCAGGCATAGGCAGAGGGAGAAGCATTCTCCCTGCGTAGAGCCTGATGCAGGACTCGATCCCAGGACTCTGGGATCATGACCTGAGCCCAAGGCAGGTGCTCAACCACTGAGCCACCAGATGCCCCGAGAGGGAACATCTTCTTCAAAGAATGGACCATGGAAACAGCTCAAACATTCTTTTCCTTAAAATACGATTTTTAAAGCCGTTTTCTTTAGAAAGCTATATTTAACTGCTATGGGCTGAACTGTGCCCCATCCTCCAAGAAAAGGAAGATGCACATGAATCTGAACCCCCAGTATCTCAGGATGTGATCTTATTTGGACACGGGGTCTTTACAGAGGTAATCAAGTTAAAATGAAGTCCTTGGGGCGGGCCCTAATGCAACATGACTGGTGTCCTTGAATACAGAGGCAGACACACAGAAGAGGTACACATTGCAGGGGTGAGCCACATACACCTGATGCCTGCACAGAAAGACCTGAATCAGCATCTCTATGTAGTTTTGGAATGTAGGTGAAGTTTGCTGGAGTGAGGTCTAGAGCCGACTACCAAGAAAGAATTTGTGAGACGTCTTTAGTGCAAAATAGTGGTTTTCTTAATGCATGGGGACAGGACCCATGGACAGAAAGAGCTGCTGCCCCTGGGGTTGTGAGGGGTAACTGATTATATACTTGGGAGTTGGGGGAGGTAAGGAAAAAAGGGAGGTGTTCAAAAGAATTTTTGTATGCTAAAGAGGACCTACGAGATACTGGAGGCTTTGCCATTATCAAGTTAAGATTGTTTTTCCATCTAGTAAAGCACTAACATTAAGATGGTTGGGAGTTTTGGGGGCACCTGGGTGGCTCGGTGGTTGAGCACCTGCCTTTGGCTCAGGTTGGGATCCTGGGTTCCTGGGATCAAGTCCCACATCGGGCTCCCCGCAGGGAGCCTGCTTCTCTCTCTGCCTGTGTCTTTGCCTCTCTCTGTGTCTCATGTCTCACATATTTTATAAAGAAAATCTTAAAAAAAAAAGATAGTAGGGAGTTTCCTTCTGGAAGTTAGGTTATTGTCAAAAATGTTTTGTTCTTGTAAATTAATAAGACATTTGTAAATCAAGGGAAACTCATGTCTTGCAGGATTGATCTTTATCGGTTAACTTTTTCCTTTCCCTTAGCTTTAGGGCAGCCAGGAGTGCTGAGGAAAGTCACAGGTATCCCACCTGGTGGGGGCGGCTCCTCTGCGGGGTGTCAGCTTGTGGTTTGTCCTCAGCTAGCCTTCTTTTAAAAAAACATCTCATTTAAATTCAATTTTCTGACATACAGTATAGCCCCCAGTGCTTATCTCATCATGTGCCCTCTTTAGTGCCAGTCATCCAGTCACCCCATCCCCTCACTCTCCTCCCCTTCTGCAACCCTCTGTTTTTCAGAGTTAGGAGTCTCTCTCATGGTCTGTCTTCCTCTCTAATTTTGTATTATGTTAAGTGAAATGAGTAAATCTCAGCTAGCCTTCTGTTCCCTCATCACATCTGATTCAATCAGGGGAGACTGGCCAAGCCCACTCATGAAACAGAATCATAGGAGTCTCAAGGGGACATAGGTCGGACAGGGGTGTGCAGAGAGGGGACAGAGATAAATGTTAGCTCTAAGTGTAATTAGAGAAATCACCAATAAGTCTTATTTCCAAAAAGATAAAAGAGGCCATATGTATGTACACCACAGTGCTTAAAATTACGCTCTTCAGTTACCTCCAAAGACCCCTACTCTTTCCTTAAACTAGTGTGCTGATCACTTGGGGGCACTGTTGCCCCACAGAAGGAAGGATAAAATCTGCTCAAACAAAGACTTTCCCTCAAAAAATAGGGGAAAATAGGATTCCATGGGGGTTGCTGAGTGCCAGGGGGAGGCCAAAATGTCCCTCAAGCCGGGTGGGTGTCCTCTGTCCATTCTGCCCAGGAAAGGCACTTTTAGGTCCCTTTCCCCAGAAAAACTCCTTGCACACAGGCTCCTAGAAGTGCAAGGAATGCACTTGAAATGGACACGTTTTCTTGAATGTAATTTTGTTAGAGCAAGAAGAGGTGTGGTATGTTCCTGCCCCCTCACCTCTCTAGGGCCTGGGTTGGTGGGCAGGAGGGTCGGTGACACAAAGATATCACCATGGTTCATGAGTGTCACTGGTGTGACTTTGTCTTTGACCCTAGCAGCACTGATGTGAGAGGCAATCAGAAAGCCCCAGGGCTCCCTAGCTTGCTCTGTGCAGACTCCAGGTCCCAGCTTCTGCAGGGTGCCCCCAGCCCAGCCAGCGATTTGCTTCCCCTGCTCCTAACCCCGGGGTGGTGCCCCAGGGATGAAGTCCTCCATAGCAATTCATACAACTGTTTTAAAAAATTATATTCCAGTCTATCCTATTTTATTTCATTAAAAATATGCTGGTCATGCATGATAAATGGGATTGATTACACCATCCCTCATATAGACCACCTCCTCTGGAGACAGCTGAAAAACTCTGCATTTAAAAACACCCATACAGGAGCTAGACTTTTATACCTTGGTCCCTGGCTAAGCCATAACAGTGGTGTGACTTTGGTGAAGGCATGTCAACTCTTGGTTCTTCCTACATGTAAAATGGGGATGATACTGGGAATGGCACCCACCTCTTCTGCGTGGTGCAGTTGAAAGTATACAGAATAGTGTCTGACCCACGATAATTCCCTTAAAAGACTCAGAAGTATGATGATGAGGATGATGGTACCTAACCAGATTGGCCAGATCAGTTTTGATCCCAAGGAATACAATATTTATTTTTTTATTTATTTCTTAAAGATTTTATTTATTCATGAGAGACACAGAGGGAGGCAGAGATATAGGCAGAGAGAGAAAAAATATGGAACACTTCACGAATTTGACTGTCATCCTTGCACAAGGGCCATGCTAATCTTCTCTATATCATTCCAATTTTAGTATATGTGCTGCCAAAGCGAGTACCCAGGAATACAATATTTAATGTTTAAAAACTACTGATGCCTTAGGACTCAATTTCTTCATTGGCGAAGTGGAGACAAAAAAAATGTACTTCCTTCATAAGGGTATGGTGAGAATTATGGAGATGATGCAATCATTCAACAAATCTATCTATTTTTCATCTACCTATCCATCTATCTACACACACATCCACACACCCATCCACTCAACCATCCATCCATCCATCCAGTCACCCACACACACCCATCCACTCAGCCATCCATCCACATATCTATCTATCTTTCCATCACCTTTTTTTTTTTTTTTTTTTTTTTTTTTAGTATCTACTGTGTGCCAGAACTGCTCTTATCACTGGTGATACACCTACTAACAAAATTAAAATGCCTGTTCGGGATGCTTGGGTTGCTCAGTGGTTGAATGTCTGCCTTTGGCTCAGGGTGTGATTCTGGAGACCTGGGGTTGAGTCCCCCATTGGGCTCCCTGCATGGAGCCTGCTTCTCCCTCTGCCTTGTCTCTGCCTCTTTCTCTCTATGTGTCTCATGAATAAATTTTAAAAAATCTTTCTTTTTTTTTTTAATGCCTGTCCCTCCCAGGTCTTCCATTCTGCTGGAAGAAGAAAGACTCTTATCCAGTGAATAAGTTAATTATCTAGTATTCTAGAAATTGATAAATGCCGTGAACGAGAGGCACCTGGGTGACTCAGTGGTTGAGCACCTGCCTTCGGCTCAGGGTGCGATCCCAGGATCTGAGACCGAGTCCTACATCGGGCTCCCTGAGAGGAGCCTGGTTCTCCCTCTGCCTATGTCTCTGCCTCTCTCTCTGTGTGTCTTTCATGAATGAATAAATAAATCTTTAAAAAAATGCTGTGAATGAAAATAGAGCCCAGCAGTAGGAGGGAATGACATTGGAAGGATATTTTGGTTAATACTTTCTTCAGGGACTGCCACACTGAGGAGGTGTTAATTAGGCAAAGATACAGGGAGGTGAAGGAGAAATGTGTTTTTGAGAGAAGGTATGGCAGGGGCAAAATAGGTGAGCTGGGAACATCCAATCCTTGGAGCACTGGCACAGAGCCTACAATGTGCTCCAAGTGGACTGGACAGGGTGTCTTATAGGAGATATAATGGGATCTGGGCCATGTAGGGCTTCCCAGATCACTCTAAAATTTTGGCTTTCATTCTGAGTGTGATGTGGAGCTAGTAGAGGATTTTAAGCAGAAGAGTAGCCATTATACGATTGACCTTTTAATAGAATGACTTTATTGAGAAGACAGTAACGGTATAAGAGTAGCAGGTGACAAGCATGGGGGAGGGGAGAGTAAACCTTGTATGGATGATGGCGATTTAGACAAGGAAGACAGTGATGGGGATCGTAAGAGGTGTTCTGATGTCCACCATATTGGAAGAGAAAACCAACAGGATTTATACATACAAAACTATGGTAAGCATGACACCAAAGTTTTCAATATCAGGTAACAAACCACCAAGTTACTATTAATTGAAATGCTGGAAATTGTGGTAG